GAGGGTGGCGGAGTGCCTCACATTGACGGCTGCGGCAGAAGCCTACGGAGAGGCAGAGCCATCAGCGGACCAAGTAAGGTGTATCAATCCCCGCCCCTCCAGGTTGGGATGGTAAAACCCTGCCGGGTGAACTTTTGAACCCTGGGGTGGCACTGACCCAGGGCAGAGACTCTGAGCGGCTGCGGCAGAAGCCTACGGAGAGGCAGAGCCATCAGCGGACCAAGTAAGGTGTATCAATCCCCGCCCCTCCAGGTTGGGATGGTAAAACCCTGCCGGGTGAACTTTTGAACCCTGGGGTGGCACTGACCCAGGGCAGAGACTCTGAGGTGTTGGACTTTGGGTGATTTTTTCGGTTGCTGGACTTAAGAAACTCTTGGGATGTTGGACTTTGGGGGATTCGTAGCTGGGGTTAGGGTCTTTGCTCATGTTTGGTCTATGAATCCGAGTTGTGGTGTTTTCCCAAGTTAATGCTGATGTCAGTTACCTCATGTTATTAAAGGTTTGCTGCTATACTGAGGCTCTGTGCTTGCGAGAGGGGAAGAATTGCCTCTTTTGAGGTACCCAGAGGTGTATGTAAGATTTCCCAGGTCACTGGGTGGGGGCTCGAGCCGGTGTTGTATTACCTTGTTGGGAGGAGACCCCTAGATACTGAACCCAGCCCTTGCTGCTATTAACTCGGCCTGGCAGAAGGGTTACACACAAAAACCCTGCAATGTAGACAAAGCCCCAGTGTCCTTTGGGCAAAATGGACACTCTTTTCTCTTTCACGTTGCACCAGCCACGGTGTCAGTTAGGTACTAGAAATGCCCTTGTCCCTGCTTTCACTCTCTGTAGCCCTTAGTGCCCCCCAGAGCAGCAGAATATCCGTTTTAACCCTCTTTGGCCACTGGCTGCCCAATGCCACCTTCTCCCATCATCCCCCTTTAGGCATTAGGTATCTGCCTCTCTCCACCTTCCCATCTTCTCTGGCCCCTTGAGCCATTTTTAAACACGTTAGACACTTCCTTCCCCTCTTTTCTCTCTGCTGCCCCTATTCCCACGTCTTATCTCTCTCCTCTAAACCTGGCTGCCCCTTAGGCAGCAACCCACCTCCCTCTCTGCTTCCCCTCAGGCCTTTGTGCAGTTTAAATATTCCCCTATCTTGCTCTTGCTCTCTTTTCTCACTGTCTTTCTTTTCCTCTTCTCTGTCTTCTAGAGCCGCACCCTAGTGGCCACTGTGAAGTCCAGCCTTCCCTCTTCCCCTCTTTTCCCTCTGCTGGTCCTGTTCCCAGCTCTTCAGCATTGCTGCCCCGAACTCCCCTTGGACCTTCTGCCTCCTGTAATGGACTTTACGCAGTATAGCTGCCCTTTCCCTTCCTCAGAGTCAATGGGCTGTAGGGGCCGCAGACCGAGAGGGGAAAAGGGTAGCTATACTGCACTACACCCGGTATGGGAAAGAGAAGTCGCAGGAGGAGTTGCGGGGCAGCTCTGCTGCATAACGGGGATTAGAGGCAACAGAGGGTGTCCATGTTCCCTAACGGCCACTAGAAGCTGCGATATAGTCAGGGAGCCAGGTTGCCCAAACCCTTGACCTGCTGCAGGTGTCCGTTTGGAATTCCTCCTCTCCCCACACCGACGGCCTGTTGTGCCGTTGTCCTCGGGCATCCTTCCTTGTTCCTTGGCTGTCCCTTGTCTTTGTGAGGCGATAAAACACCCCTTGTCACCTTGTTGCTCTCTGCCGCACCCTAGTGGCCATTCTGAAGTATAGCCTCTCTTCTAGCCCCAGCGTCCATTAGGCAAAGTGGGCACCATTATTGGTCTATCCACAGTGCCTGTTAGGTGTTAGGAGTGCCCTGTCCCTGCTTTTTCTCTCCGCAGCCCTAGTGCCGACCAGGGCTACCTAACCCCTCTGGAACCCTCTTCCGTCCCTGGAGCCCCTTAGGCAGCCTTGGTGCCTTTTCCCCCTTGGTCTCTCTCCTCCACCTCAGGCTCTTTAGGCATTAAATAGGTCAGCATTTCAACTTCTCCGGCACGGCGGCACCTAATGTCCGGCATATAGCTCGGCCTTTTTGGTTCCTCTTCCTTTGCCGCCATCTGCCTCTGTTGTCCATTAGCCAGCATAGCCAACGTGTTCACCCCTTTCTTCCCCTATGACCTTTTAGGCCATTCACTTCACCAGTGCCTCGAATTTGTGAGGAGATTTAAGGGTCCCTGTCAGCTTCTTGCACTCTGCCACACCCTAGTGGCCACTCTGAAGTACAGCCTTCTCTCTTCCTCTCTTTTTCCTATTCTCCTGCTCCTGTCCGTTGGGCAAAATAAGCTCCATCATTCGTCTGTCCTGAGTGCCCAGTAGTTCATAGAAATGCCATGTACCATGCCTTTTATCCCTACTCTGCACCTGGATGCCCCTTAGGCAGCAACCCCCCTCCCTCCCTGCTTCCGCTCAGGCCTTCGTGCAGTTTACAGGTTCCCATACCTACCTTTCTTTCTTTCTTTCTTTCTTTCTTCCACCATGCCTTTAAACAACCTTGCACAACCATTGTGTAGAGCTCATTACATAGCCTGGCCATTGTGTTCCTCTTTCTTTGCCCTCTTCTGCCTCCATGGCCCATTAGCCTCAATAGGCAACCCTTTCCTCCTCTCGTCCTCCTGTGACCTTCTCGGACGTTTACCACCCTCAGAATTCCTTGGATGTCCTTAATGTTGGAGAGGCGATCAAATTATCCCTGCTGTCTCGTGTCAGTCTGCCGCATCCTAGTGACCACTTTTAAAGTTCAGCCTTCTCTCTTCCCCTCTTTTTCTATTTTCCTCCTAGTGTCCAACCCCTTCCTCCTCTTCACCCTCTTGCGCCAGTTGTGCAGTCTGCCACCCAACATGAGCACTGGCATTCCCTAGTGCTTGTTAACTCTGAGATGGGGGAAAGAACAGCTGTTACTGTATAATGCCCAGCATTGGATACAGGGGGTGAAAGCAAGGTCATGCTTTCTAGCCTTCCCTTATAGGTGCTGGGTTCAAAATTTTCAGACTTTTTTTGTTGTTGTTTCTTTGCACTCTGCAGTTGTCCAGCATCATTAAGGAAACATGGTCCCCAGGACTGCATACTTTGATGAAATTGATACCCCAATCGGTGTGGACTAGTGTAGAAGAATTATGGTAAGGCTGCTGGTTTTCACTGCATACATCTTCTGCCATTGGTGTCTTTTGGGAGGCATAGCTGCCCTCCTCTACTCTTCCGTAGAGTGCTTGTTATGCAGTATAGCTTTTCTTTTCCGCCTTCCCTCTGTGCTGCCCCTCATGCCCTTCCGCACAATAGCTTCCCCTTGCCCCTTTCGTCCTTTGCTGCTCCTAATGCCAATGGGAACTGTAGCTATCTCTTCCCCGCTTTTTCCCTTGGTTACTGCTAGTGCCCGTTTTGTAGTATTGCTACCCTTCCTCCCCTTTGCACTCTTGTCTCCCTGTTGTAGGCAATGCCGCCCCTTTTCTGTTTTCCCACTTTCATGACCTTCACAAAACATAGCGGCTTCTTGCTTCGTTACTCCTTCTACGTCCCCTTTTGGCAGTTAGGCGGCGTAGTCTCCCTTTTGGCTGGGACTGCTCCAGTCTGCCTGTTAACCGTAACCTGTAAGTTATCATCTGCTAAGGGTGAGGCTTACTGGTTTACCAATTTACCATTTACATCCTTACCCAGAAGTAGACACGGTACTTCAGCTGAGGCCTTTAAGTGCTGAGCAGAGTGGAAGAATTGCTTATAACAATCCAGTTTTGTCAGAGCAGCTACGATATCTATGCATATGGGTAACTTTCTGCCTGAAATAGGTTCTTCTCTCGGCCCACGGTTTTCTCGTAGTAGTGCCATTTTAGCAATGGAAACCCTTTTTTCTTTCTAGCCATCAGAACATTACCTGCTAGTTGTTATTGCTGTGGGGTGAAATTTGGCACCAGCAGCTGCCTTCATGTGTGCACTAGTGAGCTTTCCACGTAGAAATGTGTCTTGGACTTCAGAGTCATTCCTGCCAAAGCTGAAATGGTGTTTCAGGGCCCCTCAGGAGATGCGTCCAAACGCCGAACAGCCCTCCAACAGCTTACGGCGGCGGGTCGGCGACCTTTTCAAACAACATCAAAATGTAAGAATGCACGTTTGCATGACTGTAAATGCACAGCTTAATATTATTGATAATGGATGAGATGATTAATAGCAGAAATGAAACCTTGTCCTTTCAGACTTTATTTAATGGGACTTCTGCACCCCCACATACACAAGCAGCGCAAGTCAGGGTTGGCGTGTATAAGGGGCTCAGGGAAGGGCGTTGTGGGGGAGGAGGCCCTGATTGGCCTGGGGGCGGCAGGGCCTCTGCAGTCTGGATCTGGCCCGCAGGGGCTCTCTTGCCCCCACCCCTGGTCTGAATCATTGTTGCTGAGCAGATTTAACACCACCACGTTCAGTGCCAGAAGGTTCCGGGTGTAGAGTTTGTCTTCGTTGGTGGGGTTACAGTCCGTGAGGGCAAGCCGGCAGGACAGCTGCTTTTCTAAGGGCCACGAGCCTTGTGTGAGCTGGGAGAAGCTGAGCTCAGGAGCAGAGAGCAGGCTGTCATCCCTCACGCTGAAGCACTTTGCAGAAGCTTAATTATATTGTTAACCCTTCAACGGGGAATGTGGGCAATGTTCATTATAACACAGGGAAAAGTAGGTGGGAAAAATAAGTTGTTCTCTTTTAATTGTAGACTTTGAATGTTGTTTGGATTTTAGCCATACTGTTCTCGTTAAAGTTCTCAGGCAGTGTGTTTCATCAGCTTTTCCTTAAATGTATCAATGGGAAAAGAGTCATTTCTATTTTGTTGTTCTCTGTTCTTGCATTCTAACAGGATTTTCTTTCCATCTGTATATTTGTGACGTAGCTAACTGATTGACCAGTCAATGAGCTGAGTGTTTAGCAGCGATGCACAGCAGAGGAAGAGTCTGCGTGGATTCCCCTTGAGGATTTCTATGAGCCGGTGGAGGGAAGCTATTTCAGACTCAGCAAATTGTGCAGATCTGAGACTTAGGAGACCTAAACCCAAGCTTTTGGATCTCCTAGTTTCTTCGTGCTGTGTTTTCTGTGGAATCAACCGTTCAAATGTTATTTTTGGTTTTCTCTTTCTTATGTTTATTGTCATTGTGAAGTGTATGGGTTATAAAATAGCTGTGTTACGTTGTAAAATGTAGATGATAAAATCTTATGGTGATGAAACCAGAAATAAATTTAATTAAATAACTTCTTGTTTTAGTTTGTTTTGGGACTTGAATGTGGGGAGGTTGACCCTATGCAATCCTGGCTGGAAACCCTTAGGCTATGCCTACGCAGCAGGCAGTTATTATGACAGAGGGTTGAAATAATGTCGAGCTGGATGACTTCTTACTCTGACTTCCATAACCCTCATTTTACGAGGAGTAAGGAAAGTCAGAGGAAGAGTGCACTAACAAGGACTTCCTGCTGTGTAGCCAGCGCCAAAAGCTGAAATAAGCTATTTTGACTTAAGCTACACAATTGACAGACTCAAGTTGCGTAGCTTCTTTCGGCTTTAGCCCTCCTGTATAGACGTGCCCTTAGAGTCTGAATTCTCAATCTTCAGCTCTTTTTCTATGGCTATGTCTACACTGCACCATTATTTCGGAATAAAGTATTCTGAAATAGCACAGCTGCACTGCAGGTAAGCCTCCAAACTAGTACGACACAGGTTTCCCTAATGTAGATGTGCTATCTTGATTTAGAGCCCCGAGGGAAAAACCTAGAGTGGTCCTGGTGAGGGGCTATTTTGAAATAGCAGCAGTGGAGCATTTACACATGCCTTATTTCGAAATAGCTATTTCGGAATAAGCATTATTCTTCGTAGAATGAGGTTTACAGAAGTCGGAAAAAGCCGTCCGTCCGTTATTTCAAAATTTTGAGAACGGAACTGCTGTGAAGATGCTCACATAGTTCTTTCGGAATAACGGCTGCTATTCTGAAATAACTTTGCTGTGTAGACGTACTCCATGGGAGTTGGGTTTTCTGATGCACTGAAGAAGGACAGTGAAGTGAAGTCAATCCCACTCATAATCTACTGAAAAAATAATTGTGCATTACCGTATCTACAGGGGACCTCAGTGAAATAGTTAAAGCAAATTTTAAACTAGTTTTTTGCTGAAGAATATAAAATCACATCTCCAAAAAAATCTTTACATACTTGTTAAGATGCACAACCTGAGTATTCAGCTTTCACCTTAAATTCTTGGATCTTCTGACACATAGGGTTCTTTTAAACGAATGCTTCAAAAGACCACCCTTCTCTAAAAGGGGCATTTTTCATTACTATAGAATCAAAATTTGCTTCCAAAATCTTCCTGTCCTTTCTCCCGATCCCTACTTCCCTTATATCCACTGCTGAAGATAGCAGGAAGAGCATTATTTTTCTTCCAGGCAGCTAAACAAGTGAGCTTCCATTTTACTTCTGACTATTTGATGAACTAGTTTAAAGACAACCCACCCATCGATTAAAATCCCTTGTTATACCTTGAAAATCTTTAGGCACGTATGCTAAAAAATATAGTGAAATGTCTTGTTATGAAATGACGCAAAATAAATTACCGGCCCCCTTTTCTAAAAGCAATGGACTTTCTTATGACCCCACTCCGATGGTTTAATGGAAAAGTTGTTGTTTCAGTGAATGTAAATAGGTCTGATGGTTTAATGGAAAAGTTGTTGTTGTTTCAGTGAATGTAAATAGGCAATGCCTGGGCTGATTACTTTGAGAAGGCTTAAGAGTATATTTAAAATATACAATCAATTTAGAAATACCCATGAAGAAAATGGAAGAGAGAGCAGGGCTGCATCACGTATTCCATAAGATTTAATGTTGCCCTTATTGCGCAGTTTTTGCAAATACTTCTGAGACAAACTTCAGGATCTATCAAAAAAAAAAAAAAAAAGCCAGGTTACTGACATTTTTTATTGCCAAAAGTCTTCACAGCCTGGCATGCAGTGGAAAATATGCTCTGATGTCTTTGGAAAGGCATTTTAGAAAAGTGGGGTCCCCTCCTCCAAAATGTCATTTGCTATATTTGAGTTCAGGGTTTGGCTGGAAGGGCTAGGCATGGTGGGGAGGGACCTGGGCTGGAACTATAGGCGGGGAAGATGGCCTCTTCAAGTATCAGCTTCACCCAGTGCCTCTAGCTATCACTGTCTAGTCTGATGGTTAGGCTCCTTACTTGGTGAGTCAGAGAGTCTAGTTCGAATGCCCATGATGCTTGTTCAGTAGGGCTTTGCGTGGGGATTTCTTGCCTCCTAGGTAGGGGTGTGTTAGATGTTCAGTACTGTAATTACCATGTAGCTGCTACGAATGTTTGTGCTTACCCGGGTACTAAGATACTCCCCAGGGTGGGCAGCAACCAGGACACTCCTGTCTCCTGGCACCACTCCTGGGGTTTCCCCTGTCACCCTGTGCTGCTGCCTCTGAAGGGGCAGGTCAAGCAGCTCTGCGCAGCTGGTGCTTGTGGGGAGCCAGCTGTAAAGCCATAGTCCCCCCTCCCCAGAGCACCGGCGCCTGCCTGGCCTCCCCACCCCCCGCATTGCCTCCGAGGGAGGGTTGCGTGTGGTCACTTTAATTAACCGATAAGCCTATGCTTATCGGTTAATGGTTTACGTGGCTATAGGGGGTCCTAGGGGACCGTCCTTTGCAGCGGGCCATCTTTGTCCAAATTCGAGCTCTTTCTCAAGAGGCTGATGGCTTCCTGGGGCGGGGAGGGAATTGTGACAGTGTCGGGGACTCGAACCCGGACGGCCTCTGTTCGTTGTCTGACCGCAAAGAGACAGGCAACACCAGCAAGATCCAATCACAAGCTCTTTATTGAATAGTGCGCACTACAATAGAGAGCAGCCCGTCTCCAATGAGAACCAGCCACGATTTCATTAACAGGTAGGCTTATATAGACAGTTCCGTCGCGTCATAGACTATTTGCCCAAGCACCCCGCCCCCCTTTTAGCAGTTAGAAACTTTTAGTATCCGTGCACACCTGGCCAACTATACATCATGGCCTTAAGCAATTCATAATGCATCAGCAATTTCTTATCAGCCCAAAAGACAGGTACTGGGCAACAAGGAGACAGTTTGCTATGGCCAAAGGAGAACATAAACAGGGAGTCTCCTTATCAGTTTTCAAAACAAACTGTTCCTCATCACAGCAGGTACAAAAATGGAGCTTCTTCCTTATCTCATTTTGCAACTTGAGCAAGCGTGTAGGGTGTGTCCCTGCTTGAACCTATCTCCAGTTCTGCCCAGGGACTACCCAGAAATCTTTGTCACATCTGCTTTAGCATAACTGCACTAGGCCTAATTTTCCAGGACCTAACACTAACAAAGGAGATAGTTCACTCTGCAGCAAAATACTCTGGAGCACTCGTGCCCTGGGGGCTGCCCCAAGCTGGGCCTGTCTCTTGATCACGGTGGACAAAAGTGAGTGGGGGAGGGAGTTACTCTTTAATTAAAAGAGAAAGAGGGCCCGCAAGTGGCCTCTTCATAGGCTACAGGGGCTGTACTCTCCCACCCCACACCCTACTGCCTGGTAGAGCAGGGATTTGATCTAGGTGTGCACACTCCTCAGGTGAGCATCCTAACCCCAATACCACAGAGGCGAGAAGCCACAGTTCTTTTGGAATAAAAACTGCCTGTGAAGAGGAATAAGTTTATTTTGAAAGTTATTTCCAAAAACGGTGGTGTAGAGATCAACATTCCAATCCCTTTTCTGGGAGTGAGAAGGAGATTTGAACCAACACTTGCACCATCCAAAAGGCCCGTACTCAGCCCCACTGCACAACAGGGAAATGTGTGTCTCTATTTAATGAGTGGCCCACCCTGGAAAGGAAACACTGAAGGAGCCAGCCAGCACGTTGGAATGCCTCTGAGGCAAGAGACCAGCAGGCAAGATGCAGACCTGGACCCTCAACTTCCCAGCTAGCGAGCACAAACGCAAGAAGGAAGCTACACTGGGCTGTTTGTTAGAGCTTTGGCAGGGTGGATATGTACCGAAAGTGGAGCGGCTTCAGGGAGCAAGAGCAAGGCGGGGCAGGGGCCAGGTCAGACTCGCACCTTAGGCCATTCACTTGAGAGGTGAAAGATGACGATTCAAATCCCTTCTCAGCGGGCATAAAGTGGGATTTGAACCCCTCAGCTAAGCGCACACCCAAAGTGGGCAATATGAACGCAATAAACACTGGAGGAAGCAGAGAGGGAAGGGAGAAAGGGGCGACACTGCTTGGTTACTACCAGGAACAAGGGAGGATCCAAAGGAGGAAAGAGGCAGTTAGTTGTAATGCACAAGAGTCACTGTGGGCACACGGGAAAGCACAGGTGCAAACGGGAGGGCCACTAGGGGCAGCAGAGTGTGAGAAGGGGACAGATACTGTCTAATGAACGCTAGGAACAGCAGAGCGTTATGACATTTCTTCTCCTAGTGCCAGCTATGAGCAATGACTCACCCTTTCCACCCCTACCCATCACACGGGGGGTTATTCACTGTAGCTCCCTTTCACCTGCTCGGGAAAAGTGTGGGGGACTATTCAAGAGAGCGACTGGCAGCAGAGGGAAGGCGTGAAAGGTTGTAGCCTTGCCATCATTCTGCTGTAGCCTGGAGCGATTATTATGATCACGTCCACTTTCGGCAACCACATTTTATTAACGATGCTGGAAAACTGGGGCGCGTCGGAGAAGAACTTCAAACAAAATGGCTGAAAGGGCTAAACAACAGCACCTACGAGGAAACAAAGAAAAATAGATGAGTTTCTTTATTCTGGAGAAAAGGAGGTGAAAGGGTGAAAAGAAGCACGTAAACCCCATCAACGGGCGCTAGGGGAAACAATAGATTGGTGAGGAAGAGAGATTCCCACAGGTTTACCGGCCCTAAGCAACCGAGAGCCGGGGGTCAGGGACGGCAATACAGCCCAATGGCCACAAGGGAGAGCACTGGCTCCTCCTCAGACACAGCAATGCAGCCTAAACAGGCACGACGGCGGGAGATCAGGAATAACAATGCAGCCCAATGTCCGCTAGGAGGAGCAATGCAGCCTAAACAGACACAACGGGCAACAACGGTTGGGGGAGGTCAGGAACAGCAATGCAGCCCGAGGGGCACTAGGGGGAGAGCAGGACAGCCCAATGGGCTGTAGGAGGAGCAATGACTCCGGGTCAGGAGTAGCAATGCAGCCCGAGGGGCACTAGGGGGAGAGCAGGACAGCCCAATGGGCTGTAGGAGGAGCAATGACTCCGGGTCAGGAGTAGCAATGCAGCCCGAGGGGCACTAGGGGGAGAGCAGGACAGCCCAATGGGCTGTAGGAGGAGCAATGACTCCGGGTCAGGAGTAGCAATGCAGCCCGAGGGGCACTAGGGGGAGAGCAGGACAGCCCAATGGGCTGTAGGAGGAGCAATGACTCCGGGTCAGGAGTAGCAATGCAGCCCGAGGGGCACTAGGGGGAGAGCAGGACAGCCCAATGGGCTGTAGGAGGAGCAATGACTCCGGGTCAGGAGTAGCAATGCAGCCCGAGGGGCACTAGGGGGAGAGCAGGACAGCCCAATGGGCTGTAGGAGGAGCAATGACTCCGGGTCAGGAGTAGCAATGCAGCCCGAGGGGCACTAGGGGGAGAGCAGGACAGCCCAATGGGCTGTAGGAGGAGCAATGACTCCGGGTCAGGAGTAGCAATGCAGCCCGAGGGGCACTAGGGGGAGAGCAGGACAGCCCAATGGGCTGTAGGAGGAGCAATGACTCCGGGTCAGGAGTAGCAATGCAGCCCGAGGGGCACTAGGGGGAGAGCAGGACAGCCCAATGGGCTGTAGGAGGAGCAATGACTCCGGGTCAGGAGTAGCAATGCAGCCCGAGGGGCACTAGGGGGAGAGCAGGACAGCCCAATGGGCTGTAGGAGGAGCAATGACTCCGGGTCAGGAGTAGCAATGCAGCCCGAGGGGCACTAGGGGGAGAGCAGGACAGCCCAATGGGCTGTAGGAGGAGCAATGACTCCGGGTCAGGAGTAGCAATGCAGCCCGAGGGGCACTAGGGGGAGAGCAGGACAGCCCAATGGGCTGTAGGAGGAGCAATGACTCCGGGTCAGGAGTAGCAATGCAGCCCGAGGGGCACTAGGGGGAGAGCAGGACAGCCCAATGGGCTGTAGGAGGAGCAATGACTCCGGGTCAGGAGTAGCAATGCAGCCCGAGGGGCACTAGGGGGAGAGCAGGACAGCCCAATGGGCTGTAGGAGGAGCAATGACTCCGGGTCAGGAGTAGCAATGCAGCCCGAGGGGCACTAGGGGGAGAGCAGGACAGCCCAATGGGCTGTAGGAGGAGCAATGACTCCGGGTCAGGAGTAGCAATGCAGCCCGAGGGGCACTAGGGGGAGAGCAGGACAGCCCAATGGGCTGTAGGAGGAGCAATGACTCCGGGTCAGGAGTAGCAATGCAGCCCGAGGGGCACTAGGGGGAGAGCAGGACAGCCCAATGGGCTGTAGGAGGAGCAATGACTCCGGGTCAGGAGTAGCAATGCAGCCCGAGGGGCACTAGGGGGAGAGCAGGACAGCCCAATGGGCTGTAGGAGGAGCAATGACTCCGGGTCAGGAGTAGCAATGCAGCCCGAGGGGCACTAGGGGGAGAGCAGGACAGCCCAATGGGCTGTAGGAGGAGCAATGACTCCGGGTCAGGAGTAGCAAGAGAAAACTTCTCAGCGTTGACAGCTGCATGTGTTGAAATTTAGGGTATACGGTCAAGAGAATTCCCTGCAGGAATCTCCCACAGAGATGAACGCAAGCTGGGCTATCAGCAATTGCCGTAAATCGTTGTAGATTTGAAGGTGAAACTGCAGAGTATGCCAATGAAATGTACAATGGTCGGATATAATCTCGGAGGGAGATCCAGAACGTGTCACGTGATTAATCTCTTAACTAAAATATCATCGACAGCAAGGAACAAACGGCGTTTCGTTACACTCATATAACTACTCCAAATCAGATGAACTAGTTCCGATTTACACCAAAGGGTAAAACATTGAAAGTTCGAAAGACTCCTGCGGCTTGAAACTGACTCCACGCCGGAAATTAAGGGCTGGCAATACCAATTAAACGGGCACGTGCTCTCCGCGTGCCCGAAGAGTGTTTGTGCGAATCAGCCAATCAGAGAGAGGCAGAGGGTTATTCATCCAAAGAGAGACACACTTCCGGGAAAAGTAGCCAATCAGAGTGTAGAACGTCCATATAAAAGGAGGCCGAAGACGCCCAGGCCGCTATTTGCCAGGGGGAAAGACGGCGACTGAAGAGGTCCGAAAGGTGAAAACTTTCTGGAAAGTAGCGGAGACTCCGAAGCTGCCATTCCCACACAGCTGTTCCGTGAGTATTCCCAGCTCGACCCTGGCTCCGCCCCGCCCCGCCCCGGGGAAGGACGGCGACTGAAGAGGTCCGAAAGGTGAAAACTTTCTGGAAAGTAGCGGAGACTCCGAAGATGCCATTCCCATACAGCTGTTCCGCAAGTATTCCCAGCTCGAGCCTGGCTTCGCCCCGCATCCCGCCCCGGATCCCGGCCCCACGCTCCGCCACGCTCCACCCCCGCCCCTCTGCCCCTCCTTACCCGGCGGGCCTGGGG